ATCTGGCCATGGATATAAAGTCATCAGGTAGATTTCAATGGTAATGTTTTTCATATCTACTAATTATTGAGGAGCAAATTTTTATGCTTTGAAGAATTATTATTTTTTTAATCTTTTTTTATTTTTAATGACTAAATGATTAGAAGAAGCATTTCACTACAGCTTTAACATATTCAGTAACACACTCCAGAGCAACAGTACATCTCTTTCACAAATGGGTGCAAGTTTCTAGGTTCACAGTTGAATTAATACAGTTATATATTATTGAACTCAGTATAAGCCCTGTAAGACATAAAATTGGATGAGTTTTTAACCTTTAAAAAAGATCTCCATTTCACTTTAGAATATATTGTTCCTTGCAGAAAGACTCATTGTTTTTGCTGCTAACACTGAGATGTTGGCGCATGCATCTCTAATCTGTATGTATCTGATTATTACTAGTCATAATCGGTTGCACTTGGATCCTTGGTGCCTGTGCATGTTTATAATGTCATTGGGCAGATTTCAATGGTAATGTTTATCATCTCTACTAATTAGCATGACATAAATTTCCATGCTTCCTCTTCAAATATAATGCACTTTAAAAAAATTTGTTGATCTTTTTTTGTGTGTGTATATATCACACAGAATATCCCAAACCATCTCATTCGACTATACACCCACTTCCCAGATAGCACCCTCCCATAGCTTCCCTCCCCCCACTAGAGCCCTTATACTCTGATATCCCTGCTACTGTCTGCTGTGTTGTCGGCACCCCCAGCCACTCCCTACTACTTGCCCTTCTGGTGAATCTAGTCAGCCTATCTAGAGGTCTTTGTTTTAGCAGGGTCAGCTGTTCCTCATCTAGCAGCAATCAGTTGTCAATATTCCTTTAGATAAGATTGGGGTCTGCTGTTCATTTTCCCAGTTCTATGCTGGGTTACTATCTGGGTGTCTCTTGGGCCACCCTGGTCAACAACTCAAAGGAAGGTATCTCATGTCTGGCATTGTTGCTTGTTATGTAGCCTTTAGCTATGCATATGGACTCTTAAGAAATTATATTGACCCCTTTAATCTTTGGTTATACTTTCCTTTTGGGTGTTTAAGGCCATACAGTTGGCCCAGATAAACCAATTTATTTTTACTCCTAAGGTCGTTTGAGGATCTATTCCTCAGGGGTCACATGGGCTTGGGAGGAGCCCCTGGCTCCTTTCTTTTACCAGTTCCGCCTATGTGAAGATAAGTCAAAGGTCCTGCTCAACCGTGGTTGGCTTTGCTTGGAAGCATGGAGGAAGTGACTCCTCTGTGTGACCCTCCTCTTTGTAGACTGGACACTGGTTCAAGTCCATCTGGTAGGGTCTCCTCAGCCTCCTTGATCAAGAGGACAGGTGACCCGCCATAATTACAGGACATTTTGAGAGATGCTCATAGTCCCCTGGAACTAGTCAACCTAGGAGGGCAAGGAGCAAAAACTGTTCTTTATGTCCCTCTGACCAAATTAGTATAGGCCTCAAAGTAGGTCTGTTAAACATCCAAGAAGGTTAGTTCCACCAGTCTGGTACTTTTAATTACTGTGTGTCATGTAGATAAATCTTGGGCAAAGACTAATTGTTCTCAGATAAACCTTACCTAGACATATATTTCTTGATCTGCTATGTATAATTTGTCAGTAGGTTGTAGGAGTAATATGGTAGCTAACAACCATCCAGTTCCAGGGGATCTGATGCCCTCTTCTGACCTCCATGGGCAGAGGACCCGAGTTCGATTCCCAGCACTCACATGGTTGCTAACAACCAACTCCAGTTCCAGGGGATCTAATGCCCTTTTCTGACCTCCACGGGCATTGCACAACACAGGTGCACTTACGTAACATGCAGGCAGTACACTCATACACATTAAATAAAAATAAATATATTTTTAAAATAAATAAAATGATGTAATAGGATGATGTAATTATGTAGAATTTTCTCTTCTGTCCAAACTGTACTTAATATTAAGTTATTTACAGGTCCACTTTGGCTTTAAGTCATGGGTCGCATTTGTGCTAAATCAGACAGGCATCTTTAGGCTTTATCTCCCTCCATTTCCTTGTATCATCTGACCCTGTTGATCTTTTCCTCCATGTCTCTGTGCTCTTATGGTTCACTTCTGACCTCAGTCTCCTGAGTGAATCTCCCCCTTACTCTTCACACCTTCTGTGGGCCTTTCAGTCCCAGGGCCTTCTCATTAGGAAAGAGTATTCTAGAAGTCAGTGGCATCGATCCCTACCATGCCCCCCCCACACACACCCAGAAATCCTAGGCTCAAACAAAACCAGGATGACCCCTTCCAAAGTGACATTTTTTCCTCACTGGAGATTAAGCATTGAAAAGTATAACCTGTGTAGACAGCACCCAAGAAAACCGAACGCCACTGGAGGCTGTGAAAACTCATTGTCTTTCGATTGTGTAACCAAATAAATGCAGCCTCTACACATTTCCCTGGAGTTGTTCAGCCCTCAGTTTAGAAGTCCTTTGGTCTACTTCCATCCCATATGCTACTACTGTGCTTTTGTGTGTATGCGTGTGGGTGCATGGTTACATGTGTACATGAGCACTTGAGTGTGAAGGCCAGAGGACAACTTTGGGTGTCATGCTCAGAAAACCATCCACCTCCTTTGAGACAGGATTCCTCATTGGCTAGACTGGCTGGTCAGTGAGGCCCAAAGGATCCTCCTGTTTCTGTCTCCTCAGCACTGGTATTGCAAGCACACACCACCACTCCTGGGTTGGTTTTTTGTTTGTTTGTTTGTTTTTTTTGTCTTTTTGAGACAGGGTCTCCCTGTAGCCACAGCTGTCCTGGAACTCACTATGTAGACCAGGCTGGCCTCAAACTCACAGAGATCTGCCTGCCTCTGCCTCCTGAGTGCTGGGATTAAAGGCATGTGCCACCACACCTGGCGCTTTTTTTTTTTTTTAAAGTGCATTCTAGGGTGTGAACCAAGCACTTTCCTACCAAGCCTATCTTCTCATTCTCTACTATAGCTTTCTATCATCTTGATCCCCATGAGCATTACTGTCCTTTTCACACCAGTGTGTGTGTGTGTGTGTGTGTGTGTGTACCTTAATGTCCCAGACCCTTCATCAGTACAATTTCCTCAGAGAACATGCCTTTCCCAAAATTCTGTAAAGCCAAGGGTATGCCTTCTTTGCCCTTAAATACATGTCAAGAATGAGATGTGGGGTTAATGTTCTCCCTAATCCACTACATCATTTGCAGATCATTGGCTCTTTGCACTAAGTAAAGTTCCATTTGTTCAAGGTTTCTGCCATCCAAGTCTCATTCAAGTTATATCCATCCTGTCCATCTTTACTGTCGTCACATCTTCAGAGTTTTGTCATAATTTTTTCCTCATTTCCAGAAAGTTATTATAGTTGTTCTGATCCCACCCCTATCCGTCGCATAGGAATATTATTGGGAAGAAAGATTCTAAATAAGGAGTACATTTCCTTGACCTATTTGTGTTTATATGGACCCTTGACCCCTTCTTGCTCTTGTGACAGGAATGCAAGCAGAAAGTCTATGTATCATTTTTCCATGAAGTGCCTAAGAAGGCCGCCTCATGAACCTCCATGCTTACTGTCTTATGTCACGTTAGTCACAGCAGCTAAAAGAAAGCAATGCAGAAGAGGCACTTCGAGGAGCCAAGTCGCATAAAAGCCTGGCTTCCTAATTCATTGCGTCAAGGAGAGTCACCCAGAAGAAATGTCTAACCAGGGTCATCTGTGTTGGACTACATATACTCAAGAATTAAAGCCGGGCGTGGTGGCGCATGCCTCTAATCCCAGCACTTGGGAGGTGGAAGCAGGAGGGTCAAT